CTGGGAAAATTGGACAGCCACATGCAGAAGAATGAAACTCAACCATTCTTTAACATCATACGCAAAGATAAACTCAAAATGGATGAAAAACCTCAGTGTGAGACAGGAATCCATCAAAATCCTAGAGGAGAACATAGGCAGTAACCTCTGTGACATCGGCCACAGCAACTTCTTTCAAGGTACATCTCCAAAGGCTAGTGAAACAAAAGCAAAAATGAACTTTTGGGACTTCATCAAGATAATTGGTTTTTAAAGTAGTGGTAAGGCATGCAGCTTAGATGCTCCATGTTTGAATGCATAAAATAGAATGGGCTGAGTAATTGTTTAGTAGGTCATATTATGGCAGGTGTCTAGGCTCCAGCACAAGGTCAGATGTCATTTGCATTGGGTCTGATTCTATACACTAGAAGGGGGTCACATGGAGGGAAGTTAATAGGATCTTACTCAGGGATTAGAGATAGGACCCCAGGTAGAAGCTGTGAACAAAAACAGGGAAGAACTTCAGACCAACGTTTCCCAAATGATATTTCATAGAACATGTAGAGGTGATTTGAGCCAAAAAGCATTTTGTGGTTCTAAGTTTGGAAAATACACAGTTTTAAAATCTCATTTCTGCAGAATTTATCCGTACCTTAATTTCAGTGACGCGTACTGTAAGTCTCTCAACAAACACGTGCTGAGTGGCTATGGTGCAATTTGAACCATAATGGATCCATATTTCCTAAACTGATTGGTCCACAGAACCATTTTGTAAAGAAGCATCCCTTGATTCCCTGTGTTCTTTGAACAAGTTTTTTGGAAAGGACTTAACTAGGAGAATTAGTGATGACTTCCCCAGATGCCAACACTGCAACTATGTCAGCGGATTTGCAGTATCTCCCGGGATGCTTTGGAGGGTGTTTTGCAATTGGAATATGCGATCCATAAGAACTACAGTGTTTCTGACTCAACAAAACTGGATGTTTCTGGAGAGTACACCTTCAGCCGGAAATCTTACTGGGAAGGATGTATTTGCTGCCACAACCTGATGAAGGACTACCAAAGTTCATGGCCATCCATGAAGCGAGAGGACAGTAGGAAAAATAGATTTTCACTCTGTATGTCATATAAGACAATTCCCAAAGAAAAGTCACGGGCCGAAACCAGATGGTGAGTTTAAGAGGATTTATGGCTTGCCCCACCCCACTCAGATGTGGTTTACAAAAGCATAACTGGGACCTGTGATGCTGATTTTCACCCGAACCCCCAGATTATCAGGCAGACCCTACGTTCAGAAACTTGGGAGAAGGGGCTTTGGTTCTCATCTGGGCTTTGATCTGTCCTAAGTGCCTATGAGTAAGGAGGTCATTGAAATGCGTCAGGAGGGCGTGGATCTTGGTTAGGTTAAATCTCAGGGCTGCTGTGCTTTTATGTGAAGAGACTCAGATCTGAGAGGTCAGCTCAGCAGCAACCTTTGATATTTCTCAACATTGCTGCTCTAATCTGACCTCCCAAATATCTGGAAATAGCAGCTAAGGTAAATAAATGAGTATACACACTTATGATTGTATATAAGCATAATATGTATTTGAGCTATACATTGAAACATACATTCAGATACATGTATTCAGTTTCATGTGTATGTATGTGTGTGTATATGTGTGTGTATAAATATATATATTTCTATTATTCTCAGGCATTTCCCATTTCCCTCCATTTTATCCATTTGTTTTCCTATTGCTAGCCAACTGCTTAAGTCTTTTACATAAAATAATCTCGACTTTTAAGAGGTCAGTTGCAGTTGGAATCCTATTTGAAAGCTTATGCTATTTTTTAATATGATCTTAATCTTGCTCCCACTGCAGCTGTCCATCTCAAAAAGAGAAAAAGGCATATTCTATTAAGAACAACTGGTTCTATAATGACTTTAAATCTGCAAATGAGACCCATTACCCATTTCCCCAATACTACTTACAAAAGAATCCCTGTGAAGTATCAGCGTATGGATTTTTGGTGTTGACAACCATATCCAACCTGGTCAAATCTTAGTGGTCATCATGAATGGAGGAGGAGAGGTATACCAGATCATCTCAAACCACAGTCACTCCCAAAGCCAGCCGTGCTTTGCAGTGGTGCATGGGGGGTGAGTGAAAGCAGATGATTTCCCTCCCTAATTCCAGTTCGCTTGACTTCTTGAGTTGATGCTGGCCTTCCCTTGAGCATATATATCCTGAAGCTGTGAAGTGGGTACCAGAGACATTGCTGGTCAAACAGCAGATATGATGGTCCTATGTCATTGACAAAGTGAACGATCAGGAAAGGGTCCACTGAACTCTGACAACTGTAATAAAATCCTAGGGATATAACTACAAAGAATAAAAATAATTGCCTGGAGAAGAAAAGAATTCTCCAGCACAGCATCATTGACATGTTGATACAAGGGCTCCTTCCCAGCTCTTAACTATAACCTGGTAGCGATGATGAAAAAGAGAGAGGTGCTTCCAGACTTTTATTTGAAGTAGCCACAAAGCTGGTAGAATTTTGTGGGGGGTAGGAAAGCTCTGACAGGTGCCTCAACTGGTCTCTGCCTTCAGAAGTGGCCGATGATACAGGCAACCAGGAAGCAACGTGTATTGCTTGTTTTCGGAAGGACGGCTTATAGACCAGAGTCAATCTCTCATGCCATTTTCACCAGTCCCAATCGACGTAAGAAAAAATGAGCAGAGTTATCCATTAATTTAAATGCAACCAATGTAAAGGACTATCCTTTGTTTCGAGAGTATAGCATTCTTGTTGAAAAAAATTACCCTTTATTTTATGAAGTGGTGGTCACATCAGAGAGCTGTCATGGCACTGGTGGCTGCTTTTGTAATTTATATATATCTGTCCCAAAGGTATTTTTTGAAATTCCCCTTCTCTGTGAAATCCAGAGGTTCAAGAGCCAGTGAAGGCATGAGGGACTGGTAGAGTAGGTAGGATCAGTTTCGTTCCAGGAAGGAAAACCGTGAGAAAAATTAAAATGACAGGGAAAGAAATACCTAACGATGAATGTAGTGAGCCAATATTTAGCCAATTCCACATCCAGCTGTTCGACCCCAGCTCCAAGCACTTGCTGGGGGAGCATCTTGGCATCTCTAAGCCAGAGGGTAAAAGTGCATGCCCAGACAACAACAACATGAACATTTCCCCCTCCCCTCCAAGATAGAGAACTAAATCTTGTCATTTTCCAAACTGTGTGGGAAGAATTTCTGCCCAAGAAACCAATGCGGGATGCACAGTGTTGCCGACAGTGCAGATGCCTTTGCCTTCTGAGATGCTGTTGTAACAGCATTTAGTTCCAGGGGCTCAAGCCCTCTGGCCCTGCATGGTTCCTGCTGTTCAATTTTCTGGAACATTGGTCCCTGCTTCCTTCTCCCTGCTCCAGCCCTCCTCCTCCCCTCTCATCCTGCCATTCCTCCCCCTAACATCTATCTTTTTCTCTGCAGTAGCCTCCTTGGTATTCAGAGCTGAAATTAACTGCTTCAGGGTTCTACGAGCATGTACTTTACTTTCTTATGTTGGCACATGCAACTCCATCCTTTATCCTGGGGCTGGAGAAAGGGTTTCAGTAAATTCTACTGGTGATGAAGCCCTACTATGGAATTCCTTAGAGACCTTGAATTTAGGTTACATTAAATATCTCCATGAAAGTTAAAATGAAGAGTCTAACAGTACCAGAGGAAGAATCCTTATGGAATGGGCTAGAAGTTTTCCATGAGCTCAAAGCCCCTGACTCTGGCTCTGGAGTCAGAGGATCTGACCCGACTGTAGATGAGCTGATGGCTCTTGAGCACATGCCTCTGAGGCTCAGGGATACATGAAGGGTTCGGGCAAGACAGCATCCCAGGTGCTCTGTCAGGTCCCACAGGCTGCCATCTGATGGCTCCATCACCTGATCCCAGTCTAGTCTGTGGGCTAAGTGTGGCCAGGCTGGGAGGCTGGCAGAGAAAAGCAGATGCGGTGAGCGTGTTCAGAGAGGCAGGGAGTTTTCACTTCCTGACTCTACAAATGCACCTCATCCTGGACCTCTCCCCAGGGAAATCTCCTGGAGGAGGAGATGGACATCCCTGTCCCCATATCCCTTCGGCTCTGACTCCCACTATTTTGTCAAAGCATTTGTCTTTAATTGGAGCTGTGAGCGATCACTGCATTTGGCTTGATCCAGCCAGTTGGTGTTGTCACCTGCAGCTGAAACAGCGGGAGACAGAGGCCTCCGTGTCACACCTGGTGGATCTTCACAAGCCAGTGCTGTGGCTGCGTCCATGTGACCAACCAAGGTGGCCGCGCCTTTCCCCTCCTCATGCTGTTTAACCCCTGGGAAATGTTGAGAGGCTGCAGCTGCTTGCATTTTTTGCCTAAAAGGAATGAGGCGTTATATATCATTATATATCTATATCAAGATTTAGATCTATGGGGGAAAAAACATATTTGTGAAGTGCAAAAATCTAACAATCTTCGAGTTTAAGGAAGAGATCCTGGCACGTTTGGCTCTCCGTCCACAAGGAATGCCAAAAACAAAAAAATGCAAGCCCTGGGTCTCCCAGTCTCTCCACCGCCATTAAAGGAAAGACCACACGAGAGTGTGGACTCTGCTTGGTGAGAGATGATCATTTCTGTGGACTTTTCAGCTATTTTACTTTCTGTTATTTCTGGTGGTTCTCTTTCTCTCATACCAGCCATGTGCCTGGTTAGAGAAAGGGTCTTGATTAACATCTCCAAGCCAACAACTCTTTAAATACCTGAACCAAAGGAATTCAGTGCACCTACCCAGAGGAAAGGCAAGTGACCCTCCTGATGTGGTATTTTGTGTTTCTCTGAAGCAAATGGCTAACTGATCAACTTCTGTAGGTTTCACTGAATACGACTGCATGCATGGAGTGCTATTACTGTTTGCAATGCAACCTGATCTAAAAACATTGCATTTCTTTTTAATCCAAAGGGGACTAGCAGGTTTATTGTGTTTGCATGTGCTTTCCCCCTAGACTCTGGCTGCCCTAACAAGAAATTCAATAAATCTACTTCCAAACCATCTTGCACAAGCTTTGCATGTCCAGTCTGGGCCTGAGGAAATTAACAAGAGAATAGAACATACCATCGACTTGCGGAGTGGCGATAAATTGAGAAGAGAGCATATCAAGCCATTCTCACTGATGTTTAAAGACTCCAGCCTGGAGCACAAGGTAGAGCTGGGTCTCCACAGTGGCTCTTTTTCTGAAGTTACTTGTCGTAAATGTTCATGGGACCAGAGAGAGAGCCCAGGGGCTGCGGTGTTGGTTGGTGTGTTTGTCGTTTGTTTGTTCGATTTGGTTTGGTACTGTCTTTTCTTTTTCTCATGAGTAGACTGAAGGCCATGAATGGAGATGCTGGTTAGGGCAAGAGGGCCTCAGCTTTGCTCTTTAAGGAGAAGATAGCTAAAAGAACAAAGGAGTTTCCTCGACTTTGAGGTTTTTAACCCTAAGGGACATTAACAGCCACTTGCTTTTGCTTTTAGGAGAACTCATGTCCGTTCTAACCCTTGTCACATAATGTATGAGAACGCCCAATAATTGGATGCAAGCATTAGTGATAAAGACTGCCTTTCTTAGATTACAGACACCTCTTCTCCCATTTTCCCAGTTGTCCGATGGCTCAGAGGCCCGCTGATGTAGGCATAGCGGAAAGGAGATGGGTGGTGGGTTCAGCATTCGGTTGGAATTCCACCTTTGCCACTTCCTTGCCATGTGACCTTCAGGAAGTGAGGTAGCCTCTCTGAGCACGAGTTCCTCAATGCACCATGAGGATCATGGATGTGCCTCCCACTTAGGCTATTATGAGAAGCTCCAGGCAATGCCTTGATTAGGTTAAGTGTTCAAAAATGGAAGCCATCCCCATACTGACAATGGCATTTTCCCATGCCTCTCTCCCGCCCTAGCTCTAAACTGTACAGGGTTGTGGGCAGGTAGGCGCTGTGCCTGCCTAGCTGGGCTGCTCCTCTGCACTGAGGGAAGCGGACAGACCTTCCTGGACTGAGCACAGGAGGGTGCTTGGTCTCTGCAGGAGCCTCAGGCGAAAACAGCAGGGAATTTGCAAGCAAGTTTCAGGAGTTTGATCCAATACTCTGCAAAGCTCCAGTGAGCAATTTTTTGTTACTTTGTTCAGCTGCCTGGGGCATTCTGCTTTCCTGGATTTGGAGAATTCACACTTCTGTGCACATACACCATTCCCAGTGAGTTTCTGTGATTAACTAAAGGTTGCAAACTCCAAAATTAATATCTTCACCTCTAGTTCACAACTTGAAATGGATTGTGTCTGGGTGCTAACAAAAAGAGAAGAAACATTTTGTCTCACTCAGCACCCTCCCCTCCTCCAAAGAGCAAGTAGGCTTTTCTTACTTGTAATATATTTAAGGGGCTTAAGGTCCAAATTAAATGCGTTTTCTTTTGTGGTTGCAACATTGAAGAAGTTAGGAAGAACAGGGTGGTCTAGCAAAGAATCTTCTCAATTAGCCTGGATAAATATGTACATCCAGAGCTATACAAAACCCTTTTGTTCATTCTTGCTAAAGATGTACTTGGTTCGCTAATGACCTGACCCCTGCAGACTGTAGATAATTTTTAATGTGTTTTATTCAGTAGCGTCTGCATCTCATCTGCGGACCTGGTGTTGGAGCAGGAGTGGGCCGGGGGGGCGGGGGGGCGGGGAGGGGTTAGAGTGTGTCTGAGGTTGATTTCTGGGTCCAGGAAAGGTTCTTCTAGGAGAAGCAAAGGATAGCATCCTGAACTGACATGTGGGGATTTGCCCACTGACTGTCCAGCCTTGCACTATCCAGCGTGGGCTCTGCCTTGCATGGGTGCCCCGTGGTGAGGACAGTGGGTCACATCAGAACGTTTGTTCAATCCCCCCCTTCCTGTCACAGAGACCCTCGCATTGACTTTTGCTCTGAGACTCTCTCTAGGGGCTGCATTACTGTCGAGCTGAGGATGTATCATAAGTAATAGCCATTGGGTATTTACCAAATACCAGGCACTATTCTAAGTTGTTAGCACAAATTCACTAACAATGACAGTGTGAAGTAAGTGCTCTTATGAGCCTCATCTTATACTTGATGAAATGGAGACACAGAGAAATGATTAGGTGCCCCCCCAAACTCCACCTGTCAGTAGAGGGGCTTCAATCTGAGCCCTCTGTGAGCCCCCAGCCGCTGCCTGGTCTGTTCACCACACTGCCTCTCCCAAGAGTCCTGGAGCTTGTTCTCTCCCAGGCCCTCATATAAAGACAACAGTCCTGTGCTATCTGCATTCTCTCCTCTTTGAACTTTGGATGGGGTGGGAGGCAGGAGGCAGGAGGTTCTGGAGAGAGAATAAGTAGGAAAGAGTCCTGGAGCCTTAGCTGATTTAACATAGCACCTTCAAGTCCATAAGATTCCAGAACTGGAGAATAGTATCAATGTGCATCTACTGTGTGCCTGGTGTTTATGTATATCAGTTTATTGCATCCTCAGAGAAACATTACTATCCCGCTTACAAAAAAGAAAACTGAGCCGTCTAGAGGTTGAGTAGAGGTCATAGATCTCAAAATCTGGCTGCCATATTCTGTTGACTCTAAGGTACCATCATCCGTGAGATGCCCCATTTTCTATGCAGCACTAAGTGAGAAAAACCCAGTATGGGGAGTCTAGAAGGAACTCCTCCCGATAAGCTGGCCTTACTCCTCAAGGTAAGGATGGACAGAAAAAAATCCCACCCAGCAGATAATCCCACCCACATGCCCACTCCCTGGGACTGGTCTGGAAAAAAAGGAGCTCTCCAAGAGGTTAAACTCCAAAATGGAATCCATATAGCCTTGCCGCCTGATTTCACACACTGAATGTGGTCTTTAAAAAACCTCAGTCAGGGGGGCGCCTGGGTGGCTCAGTTGTTAAGCGTCTGCCTTCGGCTCAGGTCATGATCCCAGGGTCCTGGGATCGAGCCCCGCATCGAGGTCTCTGCTCGGCCGGGAGCCTGCTTCTCCCTCTCCCACTCCCCCTGCTGTGTTCCCTCGCTAGCTGTCTGTCTCTCTCTCTGTCAAATAAATAAAATAAAAATCTTTTTAAAAAAATTTAAAAAAAAAACCAAAAACCTCAGTCAGGGAATTGGATGTGAAGTGGTCCCGGGTTGATATCGCCCCCTGCTGACCAGCAGAAGCAATCACAAACCTCTCTGAAAGAACTCAAGGCTTTACCACTCCATGGAGAGTAAGATGCATCCTGGTTTCAGAGAGGTTTAAAAGTGAGGGGAAAATTGTGCATCTTAGGATTATTGTAATATATATAGCATTTGTGACTCCAAAGACCTCTTTGTCCCCACTGCCCTACCCTGTTTCTTAGGAGCAAGTTTGCACCCCTAAAAGCATCTTTTCCAAAAGGAAAACAGGAAATGGAAACACTGATTTTTACCGTTGGAACTTTTGTGGGGAAGGAAAGACTTCATTCTGTTTGAACAATAAGATGTGTGAACAAGGGAACGCCTTCCCCTCTCCACCCATATAGTGAGTTAGAGAACATAAAAGCTCCTTCGAAATGTCATTCAGACATTTCCTAATCACATTAGCTTATAAAAATGGGCACCTCTACCAAGAGTGCTCTGTGAAATAGGACCTTTATATACCTCGTGGTGTTGCACAAAAATACCTGTTGAATGAATGAAGACTTGGGTTAAGGAGCAGTTTAGAGGAGACTGTCTTAACTCCTGTAAGCTGGTCTTGGGATATTTTTTAGAACTCCAAGAGCCAAAAGACATGAGTCAGTGTTGATCTGACTCTCAGCAGTGGAGCTTCAGGAGAGAAGACTGTGAAGTTCTGCTCATGTCCTACCATGTCATTTCATGGTGGTACACACACACTCACACACTCACACATACACTCACACTCTTGTACACTTATACATTTACACTTTCTCACACACATACCCACACAGAGGAATCTTTTGAGTTAAGCTTCAGAGCAGCATGCTTATGACTCGTCATCACCAAGGTTGGGCAGCATGTGTTTGCTTCTCTCTGTGGTCCTCTGTTTCCTCATCTGTGAAGAGAGTTGGACAGCCCCTGGCATCTTTCAGCAGTCGATGCCATGAGCCCCAGAATTCCCTATGACCATGGTGACCATATGTCCTGGTTTGCCCAAGATGTTTCTTTTCTTTTTTTTTTTTTTAAGATTTTATTTATTTATTTGAGAGAGAGAGCCCAAGCAGGGGAGGAGGGGCAGAGGCAGAGGGAGAAGCAGACTCCCTGCTGAGCAGGGAGGCAGACATGGGGCTCCATCCCAGGACCTTGGGATCATGACCTGAGCTGAAGGCAGACGCTTAACTGACTGATTCTCTCAATGTGATTATTAGTAGCACCTCGCTTCATTTTCAAAACTCACCAGTGTGGATAACAAGAAACATGAGCCAGGGTTTGGACCTCAGCCAGGTTAGAATCCATGGTTCTTAGCATCTCTAGTTCCCAGCATCCCCATGAGGACCTTCTGAGCAGACCTCTGGGTGGGTTGGGGGGCATAATCCAGGCAGCAAAAGTCCCCTCCCATCCTCCCAAATTTCACAGAAAAATTCTCTGCCCTTCTTTAGCCTCGAGCTAAATACTTCCTGAGACAGCTTACAGATCTCAGGGGCAAACAAAAATCAGAATTAGGGGAAAGGGATGTAGAAACATGGCATGTTTGTCAAACACTGTTGATCATACTGGATTTTTTTCTTTCCTTGCATATGACTTTTTTTCTTTCCTTACATATGACTTTTTTCTTATAAAAAAAAATGAATGCATTTTCACTAACAAAAGTTTATGCCAAGGATATAAGACAAAAAGAAGAAAATAATATCTCCTGTGACCTTACAACCCAGGATAACCACTGCAAATATTTTGGCATCTGTCTCGCTACGCCTTCATGATTGCAATTCTGTATGCTTATTTACACGATTTTTTTATTAAAATGGGACCATTTTATACATAATGATTTGTGATACAGTGTTAAGCACTCTTTGCTTGACCCTTTTCCCATATTATTAAATATGCAGTTACAAAAAAATTGTAACTACTTCATTGCATATTTTAACCATTTTTGGCTTTTTTTCCTTAGTTTTTCACTCTTATAAATTATAAACTATATTGCAGTAACCATTGTCTTAGTTAAATCATATACCCATGCTTAATTCTTTGCTTGGGAAGAA